GGCTGCTGATTTTCGCACTCTGTTTTTGTCCACTTCCCTTTTGCTTTTTTAAGTGTAATCCAAGAACCAGCATCCAAGTGAACAAAAGAGAAGTGGAAAAATCAACTCTTTTTTTTATACATTTCGTATTTATGTTACACATCAGATTGCTAAGAATTTCTTGTTTTAGAATGTGCAACTCAAGTAAACTGCTATGCAACAAAATCAGAAGCTTTTTTATTTTGTTTTAAGCTAGACAAAATTTGTGACGTTTTAGATTAATCACACACCCCATTGATTTGGACATAATGTGGTATTAATAACAGGCCGGGGGTCGTCTTTTCTTATCGGTTTTTGGAAAAAAATGCTTTTCAATTATATACTCATCTGTTTCATTTTCTCTCATCAGAACAATTAGAACCTGTTAAGGGACTCCACAAGTTGCGCCAATGAATTGAAAATCAAGGCTTGTTACAAACTGCAGGGACAAATGCTCCAAGACCAAATGGTGGAGCTCTCGAATTTCTTTGAATTTATTGTTGTTGGAGATGAATGTGATCGAGCGAAACTAACAACCGCATTTGAGGTTCGGCTCTCAGAACTGTGTGCTTTGCAGTACTAACAACAGCATTCTCCAGTAAATTTTTGATATGCCTTGCACTCATCTGTGTTCTGTTTTTGGTTGTTAAGGATTCTGTTTCAGGGGTGAAAGCTGGAGTAGCAGCTGGAATGCCAGTAGTGGCCTTCGTTATTGAAGAGACTTTGAGGACCCAAAATTGTGGGAAGCACTGGAAGAGATTGAGAGGAAGGCAGAGTAACAACAGTCGCAACTTGAAATGGCAATCACATATAAGCTTTTCTATTTTTGTTCCTGTACTGGACACCCCCAGTGGAATTTGTAATCCTATTCTTTGTTAGTTGAAAATTTTGAGATAATACACTTAATTAGTTGTACATGGAGGGCCATGACGAGAAAATTTTACCGATGTGAAATTCATTGTTTGGAATTGGCAGGAAGCAAGGTGGGATGAGATTATATTTAGGAAGATTCACTATTATACCTAACATAGGGGCCCAAATTATAAAAACGCACCCAAAGTCCATTTACAACATAACAAATAGGCCTTTAACTTTTTATAAATTATAAAACTATTATTAATTTATTAAAATAAGCCCAAATCCCAAACCTCATAAAAATACCAAATATACTCAGTAAGGTATTAAAATAATTCAATAATCAAACTTAAATTCAGTATAGTCGTATTTAGGTGACATACATACAGTGAAAATTTGTCAATCACAAATGGACGAAACAACTATATCATCCTTTCATTTTAAGCCCGTCCACAACCTTATCCAGAATCTAAGCACAGGGATATCTATCGAGATTTTCTATTTAAACCCTGCACTTCTCTTTGTTCACCCCAATACTTAAATAATTAAGCTGTAAGTTTTATTATTGTATAAAAAGACAAAAAAGGTCATCCAACTTAATAATTAACCCTAGTACATCTATACACACACCCCCCCACACCCCACCACTCTTTATATTAAGTTTTAAAAATCTCCTTCCAACTTCATGTTTACAAACTCTCTCTCTCTCTCTCTCAACTCAAAAATATCCAAGTGTTAGAATTCTTGGAGAAAGGTAAAGTTGTTCTCTTTCTCTAGAAAATATTAAATTTCAGATTTGTGGTTTGTGGTTTTCATTTGTTTGTGTTTTTTTTTTGCTGAGAACAAAGAAAATTGTGGGATTTAAATAAAAAAATCTCTTTTAGTTTTTAATTTTTTAGTTTGGGGTGTATTTAAGGGTAGTTTGGGAAGATAGTGGGGTTTTCTTAGAAATTGTGAAAATTTAAATTAAAAGTTGGGGTGAACTTAGAACATGGGGTGAACTAAGAGAAGTGTGGGGTTTAAATAGAAAATCTCTATCTATCCACAATTATTCCATGCGCAAATTTTTATTTTTATTTTTCAAAATAATTCCACACAATCATTGTGGGACCAGATAGCCCAACCGACATCACTTGGTGCTCTCCTAAATTATCATTAGCTTTTAACGGCAGGGGGAATGCTAGCAACCTTCTCTCTAACCTTCTTTTTTAGACCTTCTCCTTTTTTTGCTTGACATGTGTCATTCTATTTACACTTAAAACAATGTCATTAATATATTATACAAGTTAACTTTTGCTTTCCAAGTTTACCTTTATTAAATGTATTCAATTTATCCAAAAAAAGGTTTACAACTTTCTTACTATCTTATTTTTTTTTTTAAACATCAATTATTTTTTTAAAGAAAATATCTGCTTTTTCCAAAAGAGAGGAAATGTCCCCTTTTTTTTTTCAAACACAAAGGACTTTTTTTTTTTTTTTGGTTCCTATCTAAACCCTTTGTGTTTTTTTTTTAATTAAAAAAAACCGGACATTTCCTCTTAAAAGCACATATTTTCTTTTTTAAAAAAATTGACGTTAGAAAAAAATTAATAAGATGGTAATAAAGCTGTGAAATTTTTTTGGATAAATTGAATACATTTAATAAGGGTAAACTTGGAAAGCAAAAGTTAATTTGTATAATATATTAATGATATTGTTTTAAGTGTAAGGAGAATGACACATGTCAAACAAAAAAGAGAGAAGGTCCAAAGAAAAAGGTTAGAGAGAAGGTTGCTAGCATTTCTCTTCATTTTATAAATGTTGAAGCTTGGAAATGTTACTATCAATCACAAGTAAGAGCACTTCTAATAGTTTGCCTCTTGCCATGGTAAGGGGGTTTAGGGTAGCTATTATTCATGTGAATAGTGATTGTCCTTGGAAAAAATAATGTGTGTTTCTAATAGTTGTCCTTTGTCATGACAAATACTATTTATTTTTTTTGTTTTTTTCACAACTTTTTTTTTTTACCTAAACAATTAATTTGGATAATATTTTGGAATAAATTTTTAGGTTCCTACGTGTCAATACTATTCATATTGGATAAGATTTTCGGTTTCAAATTTCAAATTGAGTATTGGTTGGTATTTATAGAAAAAACAAATTCAATAATTTTTTGGTATTTTTTTAAAAAAAATTTCAATTTTTTTATTGCACAAAAATTGGCTGTCGTTGGATTGGAGGAAAAAATATGATCGGAGAGCCCAGAGTGCCACACGTGGAAGAGAGCTGCTGGCAGCACTTTAGTGGCGCGTTCAAATTTTTTTTAACATTGGCGCGTGAAGTTAAAAAAAATTTGGACGCCAGGGCTAACGTCGACGTGACAAATTTTAATATTTAACATACTTAAATTGAGATGAATAATATTGTAAAATGCACAAATTTTAAGCCAATTCAGTTTCACAAAACAGAAACTCTGGATTTCATCTCTTCCCGTCCTTGGCCATGGTGGTTACGTTTTGTAATTTGTTTTGGTTTGTATGCTAGATTCTATTCAATTCATTTTGTGGGATTAGTAGTAGGAACTGCAAGGGCTCAACTACTAAGTTCTTCTGCTGAATTGAAGCACAATTGGCATGCTGATGGAAAAGTTCTATTATATTTGTGGTAGCAAGCAATGGTAGAAAAAGGGATATCTATCCACAACTATTCCATGCACAATTATTTTTTCTTTTTTCAAAAGTAATCCACACACAATTATTACATACAATAATTCCCACAATCATTGTGGGACCAGATCCAACCGACAGCACTTGGTGCTCTCCTAAATTATTATAGCTTTTGACGCCAGCCATGACGCACCTTCTGGTCTACAAATCCCTCACAAGCTTCTCAAACATACATTGCGTCCTCAATTTTGCTCCCAGTTTTCTAACCAAACTGAGCATTCTGTTCTCTGTCCTGAGCAACACTGACACAAAATATAGCTGCAGAGTTTCTTACTTTTAGTGCTGAGGGAATTCTAACGAGGGTGGCTTCACTTGCAGAGCAAGAACAAAATGAATTATTAAAAAAAATTTAGACGGAAGCGACGCGTGGATTGGAGTGTGTTCTAACCAGATGGTGATCGTGTTTCGCGTGTTCTGTTTGAAATGGGAGCCTTCTCGACAGCTTTTTTGTCTAAAAAATATATACATGACTAAGACTTGGTTAAAGTAATAACTAAAGCATATGATGATGTGTTTTTGGCAGTGTAATTTCAACATGGCATGATCCACAGAGATACCTTAGCTGAGCAAATAATGGCATGTTGCTTTTCTTCTAGTCAAAAAGTGGTAGCATGCTTTTGCCTTTTAATTAATTCACACGCCAAACATAATAACAGTATCATAATGCATGTAGGTGCGTTTTCTCGGGAACAAATGCAGCAAGGCCTTCGAAGAATTTTCAGCAAGGCATGTCGTGCTTGCAGTGAATTCAAGTAGCCGATGGGCCCGAGGTGTTGTTGAGGGCCAACATATCCTTGCCCCCTGGTACTCTAATATAGTATAATTATTATAGTAGCAAGAAGTGTTTTTACTATTGAATAAGCATTAAATTAGACCCAATTGAGGTAAAGGATAAAGATTCCAAGTTCGATTTTCTTGTTAACAAATAATTCAGTTAAAAAAAATTCGGATTCTCTGTTTATAACTTATAATTTTTGTATCGTATTACTAACATAATGTTACGATATGCCACTGTGTTTATAACTAAAACACATTCTTATAATTTTGTTTCGTTTCAATGTAATGTAACATAACATTACTTTATTTCATATGTTGACGTGTATTCATTATCAAAGACTTTGGATTAAAATTTTATTAAACAATCGAAATTCAAAATAATTGAACATAGAGTTAAAATAATGTTTGGCCAACTTTGACTGCTTCAAAAAGATTATTAAGCACTTAGCATCTTTCAATAATTGTTTAAGGGCAAGTGCTCCTCATGGAACCTAATGACATACAAATTTGTCGTTTAGGGATTAAAAGATTAACAACTTTCATTGATTATCTCGACAACGACAATATTAATATCATCGACCAATCAAAATGAGGGGTGGGCATCTTAAACTGAAATACCGAAACCGTACTCTAACCGCACCGTACCGTACTGATTTCATACCGTTTCATTTGGTACCGATAGATATTCGGTACCGTACCGTACCGTACCAATCGAATACGGTATGGTAGCGGTATCAAGATTTTGATACCGGTCAATACCGTACCGTACCGAATAGTACTCTATTGAAATATAATTTTTTTTTTTTCATTCTCTCGCTCTCTGTCTCTCGCTTGCCTTTCAATTTCTCAAACGCTTTTGTCATTTATGTTTGGATTGTGTTTGTATTTTTGTAAGTCATAAGGCATAAGTTTAACTCTTTTTGTTTGTAAGCCATAATGCATGAGTTTTAACCATTTGGATTTGATGAATATGTTGATGGATAAATATTGATTTGGTTGATTTGGATATTGAATATGTTGATTAGGATTTGGATATTGAATATGTTAATGGATATTGAATATTGAAAATGTTGATGGATATTGAATATGTTGAATCTTTGAATTTGTAACTTAGGCATCACTTATTTTGGTGTTGAATATTGAATTAGTTCATTTTTTAGTTGTATTATTTTGGTACCGATACCGTACCGATACCGATTTGGCACGGTATGGTACGGTACCAATTTTGGCAAATCATAATACCGTACCGTACCATACCAATTCAAATTTCCGGTATCTGTAGGGATACGGACTCAATACCGTACCGTACCGTACCGTGCCGACCCCTAATCAAAACGCGTCTAAGGACACAAGAAAAGTAATTAACAGTAGCCTAATGTCTCATCAAATCCGAGGTCCCCACACGAAAATTCTAAATTATTTAATTTGCAACCTAATCTCGTCGTATGAACTCTTTCTAATTTCACGTGACTTTTTGGTTTTGGACTGGAGTGGGATAAAGAATAACTTGGTGCCGATTCTCATTATTTTTTTTTTTCAAACGTATTCCTGACAGTCCAGATAGTCTAACCGACAACACTTGGTGCTCTCCTAAATTATTATAGCTTTGAAGGCCAGCCTTCTTGTCTACAAATCCCTCACAACCTTCTCAACATTCATTGCGTCCTCAATTTTGCTCTAGTTTTCTAACCCAAACTAAGCGTTCTGTTCTCTGTCTCGAGCAACACTGAAGGAAAATATGGCAGCAGAGTTTCTTACTTTTGGTGCTGAGGGAATTCTGACGAGGGTGGCTTCACTTGCAGAGCAAGAACTCAGTCTTCTCTGGGGATTCAAAGGAGAGCTAACAAGTCTGCGAGGCTCGTTATCGAAGCTTCAAGCTATGCTGCGAGATGTTCAAAGTCCACAAGTTCGGGGTGAGAGGGTGGAGATGTGGGTGAAGGATCTTGAAGACATAGCTCATGAAGCTGATGATGTGTTGGATGAATATGAATATGAACTTCTTCGGCGGAAAGTGGAGATCCAAAACCAGATCAAGAAAAAGGTGCTCAACTTCTTTTCACGCCATAATCCCATCGCATTTCGTCTCGAAATGGCACATAAAATTCAGAACATCAATGCATCTTTGGCAAAACTGAACAATGAGGCAGCTAGTATTGGGCTGGTTGCTAGATCGACGTTCGTCAATGCAACCTCTCATGATATTGGAGGTCTTGATAGGGAAACGGTCTCAAGCTTTGATCAAGATGAAAAGTACATGGTTGGAAGGAAGGAGGTTGAGTCGGAGATAGTTACAACCTTGATCAACTCTGGTAAGAACCAAGAGAATTGTCTTTCTGTTATGGCCATTGAGGGGATGGGAGGCCTGGGGAAGACATTTTTGGCTAAATCCATATATAATAATCCTGAGATAGGTAGACACTTTGATAAAAAAATATGGGTATGTGTATCTACTCCTTTTGAAGTCAAGAAGATCTTAAGCGGGATCTTGGAATATCTTAAACCAGAAAAAGCTGGGATAAAAGGTAAAGCAGCAATATGTGAAAACCTGCAAGAATATTTGAAAGGGAAGACATATCTTCTCGTGCTTGACGATGTTTGGAACGACGATCCTAACAAATGGGACGATTTGATGAATTGCTTGTTGAATGCTACAAGCACTAAAGCAAGCAAAATCCTTGTCACTACCCGCAATGTGAGTGTTTCATCAATTGTACAAACACTTCCTACATGTGTTCTGAGAAAACTATCGGAGGATGAATGCTGGCGCATATTGAAGTATAAAGCGTTTCCAGATGCGAGTGCTGTTTTGACTGAAGATCAAGAGAGAATTGGAAGGGAGATTGCCAAAAAGTGTGCAGGTGTACCATTGGTGGCAAAGGTATGTGTTGAAGTACTTTTTGCATGCGTTCTTCTTGTTCTTATTTGTTCTTCATTTATAAACCTCTAACCCACAAGAAATTGATAGTGTTCTTCCCTTACTAATTTTCTTAAGATGAAAAGATATTGGTGGAAGGGGTTCTTTCTATTTTACAGCAATATATTAACATAATGCCACTTACTAGCAAGGATTGAAATATGTTTATATTAGTAGATATATTGGTAGTTTTGATTTAGAACTGACAAGCTTGCTTTAAAACTACGAGAAATGTCTGTTGAAATATAATACAACATTTAAATCAGGAAAAAAAAAAAAACAGCTTCGAGAAATGTTATAATAATGAGTAATGAGTAATGTCAATTCTACCCCTCAAGTTTTTTTTGGCTCTCCCTCGCACAAGCAGAACCAAAACAAATTGTGCAGCCCCACCCCCTCTCCGCCCAAACAACCACCCACTGCATGCATGCTTGGTGGGGAAGCAAATCATGCAAGAGCAAAGAAGAACTTGGTGGTGTGTCGGGGTGGTGGGGTGGGATTTTATGTCAGGGAGGTTGGTTGGGGATGGATTGAGGATGGGCTTGGATGGGTTTGTGCCTAAAGGTGGTTAGTTGGGGTTGTGGCTGATTTTGATGGGTTTTTTTTATTTTTTTATTTATCCAATTAGATTTTGGGGGAGAAAAAAGATATGTAAGTTTAAATTCTTTTTAAAATTTAAAATTTAAAGTTCTTATTTTTTATTTTTTATTTTTTATTTTTTAAATTTGGAATTTTATTCAAACCCAAGTAAGGAGACAGTCTTGAGTCCTATCCTGAGTCTTATTCTCAACTGTTAAGTTGAGTCAACTTTCTTTTGATTTAGGATGTACGATTGTAATAAATGAAACATTTGGCTCTGGGTATAATTATGCTAAGCTTCAGGGGTTCTAAGTGAAATTTCATGATTTATGTATGTATATTTTTTCTTTTGCATATGGAACAAATATATTGAAGTTTTCTGACAGCTTAATATTAATTGCGTGCTTAACAGACCTAATAAGAGGATTAATGATTACATATGATGATAATATTTTTGTTGTTGGTAAATACCACGAGGCATCCCCACACCCAATGGGTGGGATTAATCCCTGCTCGGGATTCGGCTTTTCCCTGGCCACAAAGTACTTTTAACGGATTTCGAACTCGTGTCATTGAGACACTAGGTAGCTCGCCAACTAGAGATGGTAGTTTGCCAACCGAACAACACCTTGTGGTTATGATAATATTTTAAGTGAGGAGTGCATGATGACTTTTTTGGAGTGCTAATAACTTCTTCCGTTTTATATTGTTATTATTGTTAATTTAACTTATTATCATTTAATACAAATTCAAACTCTCATGTACACTAGGTTTTGGGAAATATGATGCGTTCCAAAGATACTGATGGATGGCGGTCAATTCTAGAAAATGGAATATGGGATTTACCGGAAGGAGAAGAAAGAATCTTGTCGGTTTTGAAGTTGAGTTTTGATGAATTGAAACCACCATCTTTGAAACAATGTTTTGCATATTGCTCAATGTTTGTCAAAGATTTCCAAATTGAAAAGGATGACTTGATCAACCTTTGGATGGCTCAAGGATTGCTTTACCCTTCTCCTCCCAACAGACGTAATCTAGAGATGGAGGATATAGGAAATGAATATTTTAATATTCTATTGCACAACTCTTTCTTTCAAGATGTTCAAAAGTATGATGATGGTAGATTTATAATGTGCAAGATGCACGACCTTGTGCATGATCTCGCAGAACATGTGTCAAAACGGAACAACAATAACTTCAATGAGACTCGACATATGACACATATTCCTACCTCAGTGCTGCAAGGAGTTCTAGAAAGAAGTGCTCATAAATTGCGCTCACTTTTCTTGGATGTTGAAGGTCTTGGTGATATCTTACCGAACTTTAGAGGTTTGCGTGTCTTAAATTTATCTAATGCTGATATTGAGGAGTTGCCCATTTCAATTGGAAAGTTGAAACACTTGAGGTATTTGGATGTTTCCTATACAAAGATCAAGGTACTACCCAAATCCATTGGAAAGCTTTATAATCTACAAACACTAAGAATGTACATGGCTAAGCTCGAAGAGTATCCAAAGGAACTGCAAAATTTGATAAACTTGAGACATGTTTATTTTAATCAGGATGGTATGAAATTTCCAGCTGGGATAGGGCGATTGACTAATCTCCGAACATTAAATTGTTTTGTGGTGGGTAAGGAGACAGGTCGTGGAATAGAGGAGTTGGCTGGCTTAAACCTGTTAAAAGGTGGATTATCTATCTATAACCTAGAGCATGTGAGAGATGGAGAAGAAGCCAAGAAAGCAAAATTAGTGGAGAAGGCAAACATACGCAAGTTAAACTTTGCATGGGAGCACGACAGGTCAAGCATCATCAATGATGAAGAGGTACTAGAAGGCCTTCAACCACACCCTAGTAACCTGGAAGCTTTAAGGTTTTCCAACTTCATGGGCGATAAATGTCCATCATGGATCATGAGTAGTTCGTTTCCTGCATTGAAAAGGTTATCTATTTCTAATGCCAGGAACCTAACTGAATGGTCGGAAAGTGGGATACTGGTGTTTCCTTGCCTCGAGAAGCTGCTTTTGTGGAATTGTGATAAATTGAGAAGTGCTCCCAGCAATTTCCCATATCTCAAGGAGTTGGAGATACATTCCATGGGTAGCGGCATGCCAATAGCAAACATAAGCAATAAGCTGACCACTCTTACTTCCCTCACAATAAGTAAGATAAGCGGACTTGTTTCTCTGCCAGAAGGAATGCTAAAAAACAACAAGAAACTTGCATACTTGGAGATAAAAGATTGTCAGGAGCTAACTCGTATTGCTCCTGATGTAGTTGGCTCTTGCGCATTTCTTGAGTCAGTGCGTATTTCCAAGTGTCCTATTCTTGCTTATTTGCCTGATGGGCTACTCACAACATCTCTTAAGAACCTGACTGTACAAGATTGCAATAGTCTACAGTTGATTCCAGTTACACACGGCCTCTCATCCCTCTGCAAATTAAAGATTACACGCTGTCCGGAGTTGTCAAGTCTACCAAGTGGGTTAGATTATTGTACCTCCCTTCAGGAGTTGACAATATCGAATTGTGATATGCTAACATCTGCTTTGATTCATAGCCTCTCATCCCTCCGAAAGTTGTCTATATTTGGTTGCAACAGGAGTCCAGATTATGTTCCAAGTTTACTTGGCTTCACATGCCTTCGTGAATTGAGAATCGAAGATTCCCCTGGATTGACAAGTCTGCCAGTAAGGCTGGAATCCTGTTCTTCTCTTGAGGTGTTGATAATAAGCAAGTTGCCAAATGTAGAATCTATTCCAAGTTTAGACAACCTCACAAACCTCCATGTATTGAGGATATTTTCTTGCGATGGATTGAAAAGTCTACCCAATGGATTAGCAATAACATCATGCCTCATGGACTTGAAGATATTGGAATTCGGTGGTTTTTGGAAGGAGCTAGATTCATTCCCTGCTTTTCAGGTTATATCACAACTTGAAACATTATCGTTATGGGGTTGGCCTAAGCTCAAGTCTCTGCCCGAACAAATTCAACACTTGACTTCTCTAACAGATCTCAGTGTGCAATGCTTTGACGAAATGGAGGCTCTTCCAGAGTGGTTGAGAAACCTTACATCTCTTAAGTACCTGGAGATACGTCGTTGCAAGAATATGATGTATCTACCTACACTAGAAGCTATGCAATGTCTCACCAAATTAAATTTCATAGTAATTGATGATTGTCCCCTTCTAAAAGAGAGATGCAACAAGGAGAGCGGCTCAGAGTGGCCCAAGATTTCTCACATTCCACGAATATATGGTATGTTTTTTTTTTTCCTTTTATTGTTTTTGGCTCTTAAATCAACTACGCATTCTATTTTCTTCACCTACTGTACAGTTAATGTTCATTATCTTAATTCTTTCCCCGTTACGACATAATGATTTCTAATATTTATGTTTAAATCTCTAGTTGACGACGTACGGTTGTAGCGCCAAATTCAATAGTCTAAGATGCGAAATAGTTGAAAGTGGTGTGAATTGTTGTTGAGAAAATGATTAAACTCAAGTGAGTGAGTCTGCTTCTAAAGGTATCATTCTTTTTTCTTTCTCTAAAAAAGAATAAAACTCTTTTCTCCCATATATATCACCTTTTATTTTTCCTCTGGCATTGAACAGGTGGTGTGTGGAGTGTTGATTGAAGCTGCATATATGCTACACATCATCGCCATTGAAGAAAGGTGTCCCTTCCCTACAGCCTACAGGTGTATGTCCAGCAACTCCCTAGCCTCTTTTTTTAATGCATTTATATTTATATTTATATTTATGTATGTCCCTAGCCTCTGCTGTTCTTTTTTCTCATGAGTCTATGATGTTCCGTCTGCAGGGTCTATTGTTATTTTGGCATAATTTGGAGGTGGGTTTTTTATTTGTTACCTGAAGAAGCATTTTTTGTAATGGGAGCAAACAGAGTCCAGGTACTTTCCACCAGATGTAATTCAGGAGAACTATTTTTTTTGTTATTTTTTTCCTTTCAAATTATTAGTTAATTCTATATCCGCTCCCTCTCTAACAGCTTTATAGGATTTATTCTTTATGGAAAAAGTGAGTAAGCTTGTTGGTTGTGAAGGTATTCAAAAGCACTACAATTTCTACAGGTAATATATTCCAGTCTGTATATTTAAATCTTAAGAAAAACGAGTGCACAAATTTGTTTCCTCTTTAAGCCTGCAATTATAAAACAATTTTTATGTATGTGAAATTCAGGCTTGATCAAAGAGACAAATCATCGGTTCACTATGATTAACAATAATTTTTAAGGACCTACAAAGCTTAGTAGGTGTGGAATTTTATAGAGTTTTTCTATTTAAACCCTACACCTTTCTTTTTTCATCTCAATACTTAAATTATTAAGTTCTTAAATTTTATTATTGTATAAAAAAGACAAAAAAGGTCATCCAACTTATTACTTAATCCTAGTATATACATAGCTCACACACCCTACCACTCTTCATGTTTGATGATGGTAACTTACATATCAATTTAACTGTCAACATTTCTCTATCAAAATCTCCTAGTTCATTCTCAAATTTAAAAATAATAATAATAATAAATAAAAAACAATGTTGTTACACATTTGTCAATAGTTTTTATTTTTATTTTTATTTATCTCTTTAAGTAATGCGAGGTTGATGTGAACTTAGAGTGGTGAAGGGCAAGATAGCGGGGTGTGGAGTTGATAGGTGTTTTTCTTTTTCTTTTTTTATTTTTATTTGTTTTAAAAAAAAATTCTGCTATGAATGGTTAGTTTGGAAAGATAGTAGAGTTTTCTTAGAAATTGCGAAAATTTGAATTAGAAGTTTGGGTGAACTTAGAATATAGGTTGAACAAAGAGAAGTGTAGGATTTAAATAGAAAAACTCATTTATATTAATAATGAAAACATTCATTATATGTTGTATTTTAGTTTGTCAAATTCTGATATTGGACTGTTACTAACCTGTTGATTCTTTAGATATTCCAGTGACTGATGGGGGCGTAAATCCAACACAACTCAAATGATCACAAAATCAAGACAGAAGTCACAGGCTGCTCAAATTTTGTGTGCGGATCAGAATCGTTTGTAGTTGGAATATTTTGGTAATATCCTTCTATTGGTGTCCAGAAAACTATAAATTTATTCAAATTTTAGCATGGGTGTCCAAAGATGGATTTTGGGTGCAAGCCCAACAGCCCAAGAACCAGCAACCAAGTCCAACTTAGCCTATTGCTCCACTCTACCCCAACACCCCTCTTTCTCTTTCCTTTTTTTATTTTATTTTTATTTATTTCATGTATATGTAACATATGATCTTTCTTTGGTCAAATGTAACATATGATCATACTGTTAAGAATGTAACATATGATCTTTTTTTAAGAATGTTCAACTCAAGTGTACTGCTATGCAACAAAATCAAAAGCCCTTTTTATTTATTTTATAAATGTTGAAGCTTGGAAATGTTACTATCAATCACAGATCATTGTATTTGCTTCTGTTTTCCACTCATTTAATTACCTAATTACCTGTTTTAAGCTTGGAAATGCTAATACTAGTGGTGTAGTGCAGGACAAGGTACAGAGCAACATTGGTGCACAAGCTGGCGGCAGCAGTTCAAGGTGCCGCTTCAGAGGGGGCTGAGGGGGCGAAGGAACGAAGCATTCAACAGGCTAAGAATTCCTCCGGTGGCGCACTCCCACGTTTCACATTGAAGACCGTGTAAGAAAAGAAAAGAATTAATTAATATGTATTATTTATTTAATTTAGTTTTAACAATAATAAAATGAATTAATAAAATTGATATTTGGTAAATTTGCAGATTGCTTTGCTCTTCTTCTTCTCCGTGTTGGGGGGGGTTCTACCCTCTTTACAATGCAGTTTTCACATTTCCCCAGGAAAGAAGAATGCTGATAAAAGAACGGTCATCAGGATCAGGAATGTACCGGCTTTCGTCCTACTTCCTAGCAAGAACAGTTGGAGACCTGCCACTCCCAACAGCATTTGTAGTAATAATTTATTGGATGGGAGGGCTTAAACCTGATCCCTTCACTTTCATCCTCTTCCTGCTGGTGGTTCTTTACAACGTCCTTGTGTCCCAGAGTCTTGGCTTAGCCACTGGAGCCATTCTCTGATGGACATAAAGCAAGCCACTAATTTGGCATCTATTACAACACTTGTTTTCCTCATCGCCGGCGGATACTACATTCAACAGATTCCTGCCTTCATTGTCTGGTTAAAGTACTTGAGCTACGTACAGCTACTACTGTTACAAGTTTGTGACATTTTAGATTAGATTAATCACAATTTGTTAAGGGACTTTGCATGGGTCTATTAGGAATTTGAGTTATTTCCTCGTTGCGAATTGATGTTGCGGTGAAGAACTTCAACTTCGACTTCCTTCAAATTCTAGTACTTGGTACTTTTCATTTTTGTTACACCCTTAAATTAAGTTTTTCTTTTCTTTTCTAAGCACTCACCAAACAACGTAATTTTCCCTTTTTTTTTCAAAAAGAATGATCTATTTTAAGATATATATCTATATGAGAGTTTTCTGAAATTGCATGAACTTGGTTGATTCGGAAACTTTGCTTAAATCTTCATTTGGAACAAAGATATAATAACAACATTACATAAATCATTACCAACTCAAAGGACGTGGAATGGCCGCCTAGTGGTTCGAAATTCCCCTCCTTTTCTTAGAATAGAATATTGTTGTAACTATTATAAAAAATAAAAAAAAATTAGCAACGCTTATTTTCCTAACCTAAATGACATGCTTGCATTGGAGCTAAGCAGTGTTCCTTTTTCGTTTGCTATGATGATGTGGTACGGTTCTTTTCTCTAGTTTCATACAAAAACTCAATATCGTGGACCAACTCTATGAACAGTAGATATTCACCTTTGAAGTTGCCCAAAAGGCACCTTATTTAACAATCAATTCTTAATCATCACAAGCGTCTGGTCCTCTTTAATTGATTATCAAATACGTATGCACAAATTCATATATTTATCTCTCCATCACCAACTCCCCGCCCCCAACAAACCATCCTATCTATATAAATATATAAAAGAAGAAAATTAATTCCTTTAAATGTGCAACACGTGTTGCATTGTATGGTTAACTTTTGATTTGTAATATTAAAAAATAATCTTACATGTGAACTACACCATGACTAAAATGGCGAGGAAAATATCAAAGTGTATGGCATTTAGCTTCAGCGGCAGAGTACTTATTCTCTCACATCTTCTTCAAGAGTTTTATTTTTTTTGTTTTCATCCCCTTTGAATTAGTAGTTGGTGAATACGTGCATCTGTTTGAATTTTGAACCACACAATAGTTTTCTTAATAAACTCCAATCTTTTATAATAATAAAAACTCCAATTTTCTATTAGACTGATCTCTCTCTCTCACTCAGCATAAAACAAAGAAAGACACCAACTTAAAAATACGCATGCATCATACGTGGAATGATAATATTCCACATGCACATGTTACCTACCATCTCAGAAAATTCCAAAAGCCACATAAAATAAAGAAAATAATGTCGAAATCCCTCGGATTAATAATTACGTGGATTAATGTCTTCTAGTGCGTAATTTGTCCTTTGCCAATATTGTAGAGTCCATTTTCATATTGTTTGTGTCGACGGATCCTGAGCTTTTGTATTTAGTTATAGCGTCTGCCTACCAGAGAAATTATTTAAGCCACTAATTAATTGGCTAAAAATATAAAAACGCGCATAAAGTTTGGCAAATAGAGCTCTCTTGGGGTGACATACTAGCTTTTTTGTTGCCAGTGCTTTTACAACTTTTGTCAAAATAATCGGCACAAAGCATGTCTGGCTTTGCTGCTACACTTCAAAAGCTGAAAGCGCATGCCTAACTTTATAATAACTATAGCTGATTAAAGTTCATGGACGCCATTAGAGAAACTTGCAATGCACATGTGGCGTTCTCGAGCTTTGAGCCCGTGACCAGAGTACAAAGAAAATGCATGCATGTAAGATTATGAGAAAGACTCAAAGTATTGTGGGTTCTAGAGGAGCTTGAAGTGGAGTATATGATTTTTTATTTTTATTTTTTTCCAAATACAAGCGATACTAAAAAATGAAGAAATGGGAACGAAGAATGTCAGATGCAAAAGTAGTTGGTCTTGATCATTTGAGATATAAGCCCCTTATAAATATATGATGTTAATTAGAAATTAATGTTTTAATTCACATATATTTTTTAATAGGAGATTCACAATCTGATGAAAAGTGAGGTCTAGATTCAAGGAAAAACAGCAAGAAATATGATAATATGATAATTGAATGTTGCTCCTCTTTCCATGGGGTTCCTACTTTTATTAGTTATGATTCATTTTTACTCTCCAATCATTTCGTTTTCATTCCATTCATCTTCTCCTTTTCTATTCTTATTATATGATTAATTGTAATGGTGCTTAAATTTGTACCCGAGTTTTATGTCTAAATGAAGAAATTGTAACGTGAAAGAATTGAAAGACGACATAAACTGAAAAACAAGTTGGAAAACCAAAACAAAACTTGCGTATAAACTCAAGAACCATTATAATAAATAAACCTGAATAAATATGATCTTCAAAAGACAGCCATCAACTTCATTATTGCATTTAAACAGAAAAGTATCTTATATATTAGGCGTGTCCTATCACGTCTTTACTTCATGCGCAAGGCTTCAACCAACACATGCTTCCAAAAACTTGGTACACTATTCACTTCAACGGTCCAAATCAAGCGATTCCAATTCTCTAGTCTCATCACATTATTTATATATATGGTCCATGATGATCTTGATAACCTAAAGGACCACCCTTGTGCCATCACATCTGGTCTGATATGAATACGACCTAAACCAACCAATCGCATGAAGCTGACTTAGACCAACCAGTCAACACAATAAAAAAAAACAAAATGCACGTAATGTATGACGAAAAATACTTAACTCATTACACGTAAGGAGCCAAGAAATGTCACGATACATTTCTCCAATTGGCCATGAGCAGGCCTCGCGATCAAATTTATAGGTGAAGCTTCATTTTCCCTTATGGAAATTTCACAAGTAGTCGAAAACATGAAATGTCAGCCGCCGGATTAGAGGACCATTTCAATGATAATGTAGGGCTACACAATTGATGGGGTCGTACCGTACGTCTTCCTCAACATAGCCATTTCCATTTAGTTAACTAAGAGGCATACTCAGCTGTCTGATAAGCAACCACCAGCTAATTTTTCCTTCTAAATATGAAAAAATTCACATGGATGTTTGGAAATTTGCCATTTGCAGAAATTTGGACATTTGAGCACTTAAATTCCCATGGTTTGTATTCTACTAAAAGTTGTATATTTTATTTTATTTTTTCTTTTTCTTTCCTATTCTACCTTTATCTTACATTAATTATTTTTTATCTTTATACTTAATTTTCCAACTTGCACTCCATTGTTTAGGCAAAATTATATGGTCCACCTGACACTCATGTCCTAGAAATAAACCTTGCAGCCATAGTTCTTTTTTTTTTTTTTTTTTTTGAAAAGGAATTAAATTTGAATGCAAAAGACAATAAAATACAGAGATGGCTAAAGTGACCACAAAGAAACAGAAAACAAAGAAAGAATTACTAGACTAAACAAAATCCTCATATACTCAACACTAGAGCTCAAATTAAAATCACAACATGACTTGCCAAAAAAAAAAAAAATGTTTGGTGGCTAGGAAAATTCAACCATACAAGTGCAAACAAAAGTTATAATAACAAGTAAACCAAAGTCATATCAAACAAATCCAACCAAATTGATTCAATAATGCTTCACAAGTATTAAAAAGCAAAAGGAAGTGTAAGTAGAGAAAAAATAAAACTTTAATGTAAGGTAAGGGTATAATAGGAAAGAGAAATAACAATAAATAACAAAATTGATTAAAAAGTATTAAAAAAACAAAAAAGAGTGTAAGTGAAGAAAATATGAGTGAGAAAATCAACTCATTTTCATAAATTACGTGGAATAATTTGAAATAATATTCCATTATGCTTCTGTACTTCACTAAAAGGCCCTTTTTAATGACTGGTGAAAATGCCCTTTAAAAAAAGTTAGGATAATGAAATTTAGATTAGTAGCAAATCAATAAACGTACAAGTTAATACTTTTAATTTTGAGGATGAATCAAACTTAAGACCAAATTATGAATTAAAAACAAAACTTCCTATGTTCAATGTACTAACATATTTTTAACCATTTAAACTAAAAGCCAAACTAACCCCATCAAAACCAATTTGACTAACATTGGCAGGAAAATCCATCAAATACTTTTGGCCTCCCAAGGGGAAAAAAAAAGAGTACTTCCTCCATCCCTACAAGAAAATACTCATTCTTCCTGTAAATTACAATTTGACACATATACAAAAATAATTCATTAAAAACATAAAAAGAAAAACTTATGCACACGTGTCACATTGCTATTAGGAAGAATATAGGAGCTTCTACTTACTACTTACATGATAAAGAGAGAAGTATTTCCAAAACGAAATCTTTAGATCCCAAACCCCCTTAAAAAATGAAAAGATAAAAACCCAAGATTTTCATCATCTTATACACAAAAATAAGGGGAAAAAGGAATCTATATATCCAACTTGGCATTATATATTTCATCTTCTTATATAAGATGATATTTTTAAAAATAATTCCACTATATATTCCTGACAATCCCAGGAGTACTTTCACAATTGTTTGGATGCATATCAATGCTCGATCATAAATATTAATGAAACGAAAATAAATAAATAAGCATATCCAAATTCTAGACACATATATGCTTTTCCCTACCAAGATCCAGATTGAACTGAGGCATACATAACAATGCGCACCAGCCTATACATATGATTGCTTTTCTTACTGGACAGAACGGGACAAAAGTTATCAGAAATGGTATCAAACTTTGTTGTGCGCTTTAGAGATTTTCCACTAATAAAGATAGAGCTCAGATTAGATAAAATTTTCAGACACAGCCCCCTTTGTGGCTTTATTTTCCCTGCAGAACGCAGCCCGAGATAGAGAAAAATAGTTGTAAGCTTCTTGATCAAGAAAAAATAAAACCAAAATTGCAAGTCGTATTTCCTCCCTTTTCCCCTCTTCAACTTTAAAAATTAGAGGCATACAGTTATTTCACTCGTGCATATATCGTTCCTCTCACAAAATTTGATGATTTTTTCGGTAGGTAAAAAGCGTACGTCTATAAAACTCATTGTATGTAAGAATTTCGGTACTTTTTTTTTCGGTGAGACTGAGTTGGGGTCTCATATCCTTTCTTCTTCAAACTTTGGCAGACACTATGGAGTAAATACCTTTGTTTCTTTAAAACTTTTTCAGACCTATCACAATATTTATATCACATAGCTTTGTTTGCTTCTCTCATTTCGCTCTCTTATAAGTTGGCATAAAAAATCAGTATCAGCTTATATAA